ACTTTCATTCTCTTCTTGATGTAATACTGTCTGCATTTGTGTTTCTTCAATGTTCTCAACTAGTTCTAATTATTATTCATATGTATTATTTATATTCACTATACATGTACATGTACCTTCTTTTTCAGATTGAAATAAAGCAAGCTGCTTTTCTAATAATTCTTTTATTTCTTTCGAATTCTCAATCTCCTATTATTATATCATGATCACAACAATATTAATGAAAAATTTCTAACTTCTTCATGTTCTGTTAAATGTGATACTTTCTCTTGTAGTAGCTGACTAGTTTCAGCTAATAATAAATTAAATTATAGTAAGCATCATTGTGACATCATTTGTACCTGCTATTTTTTTAAACCTCTCACTCTCTGCTATACTAGCACTCAACATCTTGTTTTTAGTATCCAGTATTTTCTTCATGGACTCTGCTTCTTCCTTCATTATTATAATTTCCTATGAAATAAATAAACTAAGTAACAAAGTGATACAAGACAGAGCCAAACTAAAAATAGCACATTTGCTAATAGAATGCATTAATAATAAATAAAGACATTAAAACTTTAAATGACTTCAAGCTACAATGGACATACGGCTTTTAAAAAGGTACATTGCTAATTATATCATTAAATATTGCAAAGTATTCACCTCCTCTTTACAATTAATCAGTTGTATACTCAATGACAGCATCAATAATTGTTTCATGAAACCACTACTAGTTGATAATGATGAAGTGTATTCATCTATTTCTGTTGTAGTAGCAGTGGAGGTGTCCTTTACCTGTTATTAATAATAAATATCAGTTCATAAAATAGTCCATTAACCTCATACACAGTGCAGTATCCAATGGTTAATCTCTTCACTTTGTTTTCTTTCAATACATCAATATTATTAAGAGCAGCTGTAATTAACTGCTCAGATAGAATCAAAGAGAAGAAAAAAGTGATAGTGAAAGAATTGTCATCTGTAACGACTTTTAATTTGACATGTCGTGATGAATTCTCAAAAACAGCTGTCGACAGTCTCTGGACGTCCTTAAGTGTTAATTCATTAGCGTCTTTATCAACGACAATGGTAATGATTTCACATTCAAGTGGCGAAGCATATGAGAATTTTTCTTTCAAACATTGACTGAGTTTAGTTTCCTTTAGCTCCTCAACAGCTTCCTTATATTCCTCAATAACTGGCTTAGCCTCCTCTAAATTGAACTTATTAACAAAAATTAATACTCCAGCACACTAATGTCATCAAGAGGACTATTATCACTAACTAATTGTAGAATGCTGAGGATATCTTGACACTGAGCAACTTGAGGCCTCAATGCTTTGTCATATACACCCAAAACATACTTAATATAATCAAGAGTTGGGGATTGAGGGTTGCTCATCATGATTGATCCCACTTTAAAGAATGTATGCCCCAAACTCAATCGCATCAACTTAAATTCTGAAGTCATATTCATAGGAAAATAAATCTTCCATTCTTCAACTAAATTAATGAAGTAAATGCATACTGTAAAAGTACTGAATCTTACCATTGCTGTCATTCGGTTTAATTAATTCATCACTGCAATACACTTCTCCTATAAACAATCATTATACTATTAGTCTTAGTTGCATAAATATCCTTACTGTATTCACTCAAAATAGCATTTCCAATCTCAGCAGTGGGTGTTATTTCACACAAAATTTTAGCAAATGCTTCAAGTTTTTGATAGTCAATGCAAACAGCTTCTTTTATTTGAATCAGCAGAGCCTCTCCTGGTACATTAATAGAGACTGCCTTCTCTTTCATAACTTCTGAATACAACAATGCTGTCAACTGAGGCAATGCAGTCACAAGAGATTTGTTTGAAGTATAATGAGCAAGAATTTTACAAGCAGGGTGCACTAAACAATTAATAAATGATATAATAACTCCTTTATCAACTTACTCTCCATATCTATTCCATGAGCTACTGCTTTTTGTTCTAATTCCCTCAATGCAGATACCAACGAATGGATAGTAGGACCACCTTCCAATAGACCCTTTGCAGAAGGGTGTGGTCGGGTGTGGCAATTTATGCGGCGGCCATCTTGGAGTACAACTTACCTATAATAAAATGGAGTCATGAGGAGAAGAAGGTCTTTTACCGGGTTATATCAACTCTATAACAGATGTAACTTCAAAAGAAAGTACAAAGAAAAGCTGTGGTGCATTGATGGACAAGATCCAAATGAATTACATCATTCTTCATGGATAGATAACATTGATATGAGGCCCTGCACATTTCATGCATATAGACCGTCTGCAATAGGCGTGATAATTAGGGGTTCGGTTTTCTGTCAGCCATTTTGGAGTACAAGAATAAAAATGGCCCATTTATGTACCTATCCTTTTCATGCTTTATAAAATCAAAGAAAATTGGATTTTAGGAGTTAAGAGCAAATTAATAGAAAGATAAGGCTATGAAGAATAAATTCTGGAACTTATAGTGCTGTTTTTCAATTTTTAGGTGGCGAAGGCCTTGAGTGAACTCGGGCCGTTTTTGTCATGTTTTTAGGATTCCTGTACGAAAATTGAGAGTAATGAGCTTGAAAATAATAAAAATAACTTACTGGAAGTTCATATACTACATTATAATACAGGACAGACTTATTGAAGAGCTCCTA